AGCACATGCCCAAGGGTGTCAGCCCCACAATCGGCCTCTGTAGCCAAACTCCCTCCCTGTCTCACTAGCCAGCTCCCAAATAATGACATGGAAACTTCTTGTTAATTATGAAAGCTTGGTCTTTGGCTTATGCTTGTCCCGCTAGCTTTTTATAACTTAATTTAACCTGTTTCTATTCATCTACAATTTGCTGGGGCTTTTTACCTTTCTTTTATTCTGTCTGTCTGTGTGTCTGGCTCCTTGTATCTCCCCAGCGTCTCCCTTTCTCCCTCTGTCTTCCTCTATTTCTGCTGAGTCTAGATTCCTCCTCCTATTTACTCGCTCCAGCTATACCTTCTGCCTAGCTATTGGCCATTTAGCTTTTTATTAGACCAATCAGTGCCTTAGGCAGGCAGGGTAAACAAATGCAGCACATCTTTACATAATTAACTAATATTCCACAGCCAGCTGCATGTTCCCAAGCTGATCATTAGTCAAGAAAAATGCCCCACAGACTCACCTGAGGCATTTCTCAGTTAAGTTTCCCTCTTCCCAGAGGGCTCTAGCTGTGTCACATGATCTAAAAAGAAACTCACCAGCACACATCTAAACAGAGAGAATGATTGATAACAAGGTAACAGTTTAGAAGGAACTGTCCCTAGTCTCCCTAAGAAATAGACAAAGATGAAGGATGGCTTCCCTGGCAGGCTTATTCATCAGTTTATAGGAGGATGATCCTAATGAGTAATTGATTCTACATGTATATAATTGTATATCTTTAATTATGTAAAATGTATAACTCCATGTAATCAACCTTTTGGAATAGGATGTAAGATTTATTAGTTATAAAGATGGGGGTTGTTAAGAGCAGGTTTTTCTGGCTAGCCTGGCCCCACAGCCACGCCTGCCCCAAATAACACACAGACGCTGTATTAGTTATAATGCTGTTGGCCTGTTACTAGAGTTGGCTAGCTCTGTCTTAAATATAAACCCATTTCTATTAATCTAAGTATTTCCACGTGGTCTTATCTTACCAGAGAGTTGGCTGGGACCTCAGCTCTCTTCATCCTACATTTGGAATCTCTTCCTACCCATCCCTAAATCTTTCTTGTCTCCTAGTCCCACCTATCTTGCTTTCATATTGGCCAACAGTGCTTTATTCATTAATCAATAAGAGAAACATATTTACAGAATGACATCTCCCATCAGGGGGTAGCACAGAGGAAGCTCTGTGGGGTGTAGTACCCACTACTTGTCCAAGGGACCATAATTGGGAATATATTTGACACTACATCCATTCATCATGAGCAGTCTATCAGCCACCATGTCTTTACAATCAATCACCTGGATCTGTGCGTATGGTGCACACCTTTAATCCCAGCACTTAGGAGGCAAAGGGAAGCAGATCTCTCTGGGTTTTGAGGCTAGCTTCGTCTATATATCAAGTTACAGGACAGCCAGAGTTACATAGAGAGATCTTGTCACAAGAAAGGAAGGAAGGGATAAAGGATCACAAGTTCAAGGCTATCCTGGATACTGTGTAAATCTTTGTCCCAAAACAACAAAAAGCTTTAAAAAAACAAACAAAAAACAAACAAACAAAAAATCCACTTGTATTTTTCTTCTGTGTCTGCATGCATGACATCCAGGACATGTGGAGGTCAGAGCATGACTCGAATGAGTCAGTTCTCTCCTATCATGTGGGTCAAACCCAGATCATCTGGCAGGGTAACAAGCACCTTTACTTGCTTTGTCTCAAGCAACTCAAACCCAGGGCCTTGCACATTAAGCAAATGCTCTACCATTGAGCTGTGTTCCTAGACCTCAAAGTTTTGTTGATGTATTTTTCTCAATTTTATTTTTTATTTTACTTGCTTCTATGAACACTCTGCTACAAGCATTTTGGTGAACATCTGTAGCCATTTCTGTAGAATTCTCATGAATTTCTAAAGTGTATGTGTGGTTTGTCTGCATAAATGTGTACCATATGCGTGCCTGGTACTCATGGAGGCCAGAAGAAGGCTTCAGACCTTATGGAACTGGAGTTAGAGATGGTTGTGAGCTGCTATATGGGTACTGAGAATCAAACCTGGGTCCTCTGGAACAGCACACAGTGCTCTTAACCATTGAGCCATCTCTCCAGTAAAGTTGCATGCTATTAAAATCATATAGGGCTGGGAAGAGGATGGTCAGTAAAGTGCTTGTCACAAAAGCAAGAGAACCTGAGTTTGGATCTCCAGCATCTACATAAAAAGTGGGATGCAACTGGTGTATGTGTTTTCAGACAGGGTCTCTCCATGGAGTCCTTGATGTTCTGAAGCTCATTGTGTAGACCAGACTGGCTTCAAACTCACAAAGCTCCACCCAGGGTGTAGAGATCCCTGGAGGTTCTGCTGGCTGACCAGTCTAGTTGAATCAACGAGCTGCAGGTTAAGTGAGAAATTTTGTCTCAAAGAATAAAAGGCAGAGCTGTTAAGACATCCAACATCGACTCTGACATGAGCAAACACTACACACACACACACACACACACACACAAAGCTCAGAGTCTGGGGTATAGTTCAGTGGTAGAAAGTTGCCTCACATGCAGGAGGCCCTAGGTTTGATTCTCATCACCAAGAAAGAAAGAAAAAGAAAACCCATCTACAGCTCAACATACCAACTAAACACACCTGTACATCCAACATCCAGATCAAGCACAGAACTAGTTCCCCACCATGCTCCCATCCAGGCACTGCCCTGCACACCACTATTCTCACCTAGCAGCACCGATTCCTTTGGCCTGTTTTCAAACTATATATACATGGAAATTTAGTGTGAGGTCATATAATTCACTGGCGCTTATTCTCATTGATGCACATTGTACCAATGTATGGTTATAGTAGCATTTATCCATTCTTCGGTTGATGGGCATTTTAAGTGCTTTCCTATCATTTGTTTGTGTGGTTGGTGGGCATTTTGAATGGTTTCCTATTATTTGTTTGTGTTTCTATGAGCTCTCTGTCACAAGTATTTTGGTGAACATGTGTAGGCGGTTCTGTAGAATTCCCATGGAATTTCTGAAGTTCTAAGTGTGCTCACATGTTGACACTTGAGTGGATATGTGCTCTCTAGAGTGATATGTACCAATTTTCATGTGTGTCCAAGCTGTGGCTTTTTAACATTTTAGTCAACATGTTCAGACATTCTCTGTGTTTAGTATCCTTTTCCTCCTGGGGAGTGGGGAACTTCGATTAAACCCAAGGCTATATGCATCCTAGGTAAGAGCTGTAGTGTCAGCCTCAACATGTTTTTTTTTTAAATTAATATTTACATGTATTTAAAGTCTCTTTATGTTTACCACTTGATATCTATCTCTAGAGAGGTAATATGGTAGAGGCTGACTGGGGAGAGCTTTGCTACTAAAGCCAAGCCAGTTAAGGAATTAAGAACACTCAAGCAGACAATATTGGCTTTAGTAAACCAAACATGGATCAGAAGTAACTACCACATAAAAATAGAGGCTCAGAGGTGGGCAGGGTACCCTCACCTTGAATCTGGCAGAGGCTGGGGGGTCTCTGTGATTTGAAGACCAGCCTGGTCTATATAGCAAGCTCCAGAACAACTACAACTACATAGAGAGACCCTGTCTCAAAAACAAACCAAAAAAAAAAAAAAAAAAAAATAGAGGTTCAAGGCACTGGTGTAGCATTGCTACACCTCAAATCCCACCTCTCCAGCGGTGGAAGCAGTCGTCAGGAGTTCAAGGCCACGTACCAGCCATATATTGAGTTTGAGACCAGCCTGGGCTACATGTGACTAACCCTTAGGGCTTGGCTTCCCGTGAAATTTGACCTGCAAGTCATCTCACTTGTAGCTTAATTTCTTCCCTGGCCAGGGGCAAAACTAAAAGCCTGTCCACTTGTAATTCTAGAGTACAGGAATGGTTAGCACTTGACTGTACAAAGCTCCCTCCTCTCCCTTATCTTTGGTAAGCTGTCTTTCGTCACCCAGTCTTACTCTATTTAAAGTATTAAGGGGAATTTTCCGTTTCTTTTTTGTTGTTGTTTAGAGATTTTTATTATTTCTAATTATTTGTCTCTGTGTCTGTATGCAAGTATGTGCACATTCAGTACAGGAAGGAGCTCACAGAGGAGTCGGATTCTGCAGGGCCTGGAGTTACAGGTGGTTGTGAACCGCCCCATGTGGGTGTTGGGGTTCTTCTGCAACAGCAGTGCCAAACTCTTAACCACTGAGCCACCACCTCTCCAGCCCGTTTTCCTTAACTGGCAGTTTCGACCAGGGGAATTCCAGTCCATGCACATTTTAAAAATAACGTCTTGTAATTGGGATCTTGCTGGGATGCAAGGAGTTAAGAGGAAATGGCCTATTAGGGTTTTGCTAATCCGAGAAACCCAGGACCTCAAAACTATGCAGAACGCCTGTGAAAGCCACGATTCCACCAGGCGGGGATGGTTGGCCGAGAGGCCCCGGAGGTTCTTCGAGTTAACTGCAGAGCAGAACCTAGAACGGCCATGAGCATCCCGAGATCCGCTGGACTAAGGCCCTGACCCAGCGCACCAGATAACGGTGGAGCTCTTTAGCCTGACCCGGGAAACTCAGGTGAGGCGTGTCTCCATCACGCCGTTAGTGGCCCGCTGCTCCGAGAATCACCCCGAAGGAAATGAGCCCGCAACGCGCCAAGTCAGCAGCCCATCGTGCTCCCGGCTCCACGCACAGGGATCCTCCCGCCACCGCGCGCTCACCGCATACGGGACCGCCCGGGAGGGAGCGCGCGCAGCCGGTCACGGAAAGTTGGCACCGGCGCGGGACCGCGCGCTCCGGGCGGCCCCCCCCACCCCGCACTCGAGGCGCACGTGCCGCCGCGCCCCCGCTCCCAGGCCCAGACGGGACGCCCCCACCCCCACCGCGGCACGCAGTGCGCAGGCGCCTCCCCGCGGGTCCCGGCGGCGGGAGCGGGAGCGGGAGCGAGAGAGAGGGAGGCGGCGGGCACGGCGGGAGAGCGGCTTCAGCCTCGGCTGAGGGCTGAGGCGAAGAAGGCGGTGGCGGCAGCGGTGGCGGCGAGGCGGCGAAGGTGATGGCGACGCGGGGCCCATGAGGCGGCGGCCGGCGGGACGGGCCGAGGCCCGGCGGAGGAGGCGGCTTCGGGGGCGCCCACCGCCGGGTGAGCGGCGGCTTGAGGGGGACCCGGGCCGGGCGCGGCCGGGCGAACTCCGAGGCGCCTCGAAAGCGGCGGCGGCGGCGGGCCGGGCTCCCGGGAGTGGCGGGGCGGGAAGGGACGCCGCCGAAGGCTTCCCGCCGAGCCCCGAGGGGCGTCGCCACTCGCGTCCCGCCGCCGCTCCCGGCGCGCCCGCCCTCTTTGTCCCCGGGCGCGCGGTTCCCAAATTGGGAGGGAAACGGCTCGGGCGGGCCGGGAGCGGGCGGCGGCGCTCCCGCAACTCCTCGGGCGGTTGGGGGGCCCGGCCGGGCCGGCGCTGGGCGGGCTGGTCTTTGTCTGGCGACCGCGGCCGCTCCTCGGTGGCGTGCTGCGGGGTCCGGCGGGTCCTCCGTCTCCTTCGGAGGTTTTTTTTTTAACAGGAGGTTTGGTTGGAGCGCTGCGGAGCGGGAGAGGGACTGGCGGGAGGACCCGGCTCGCTGCCTCTTGCTGGACGCCTTTTTACTTGGGATGACTTTATCCCCACTTCGTAAAACTTTGGAGCTCTGCTGTGTGTGTGTGTTTTAATTGTTCTTCGTTGAGTCTCCAGATTGAAAATAGAGAGGAGGCGCTAATGCTGTGATTGGGCTGGCTGCTGCGTTTGGAGTTTTTGAGTTGAAATGGTTTATGTGACATGTATTTAAAATTTGGGGTCTCCCGCACTCCCCCACCATTGTGCGATTATTTGGGGTTGCTTTTCTTTTGCGAAGTGAGTTCGGTTTTTATCGTTTGAAGACATTTTCGGCCCTCGAGAATTGGGCAGTGCTACAGATTTCATTGTGCTCACGATTTATTTTGTTCTCACCAACACTAGGCGAAATCGTGGAAATCAAGGTAGACGAACTTGTATGTGTTTTAAGTCTAAAAGTTACTGTTTTTGTTGTGCATCCTTACAAGTGGATATATGTGAAATCGCTGTACAAAGCTGTGCAAACGAAAGATTTTAATTCTCTGTTAAGCAGAAATCAGTGTGTCTGTAGTACATGAAAATCTGTAAGAAGAGGATTAATAGTGTAATTTTGGAATCAAATCCTTCCCCCTGTAGACAAGTTTGTGGGTATCTTTAAAAGCAAGAATGAAAAGCAAAGAGAAACAAAAAGGCCCCACAAATTTAATTGCTCAGCTCCTAATTGTGAATTTTTGTTACATTTGCAGGTTTCTTTTGGTGTGAGCAAGGATTTATTTGCAGTTACTTTGAGTTTCTGAAGGCCTGTGTAATGAATGGCAGAATGCTAATAACTGGAACAGGCTCTTCTGGGTAAAGGGTGAAAAGCTTTGTTAAATCAATCCTTTACACCAGATCTTCGGTGCAGAGTACTGTAGCAAAGGGCGTTTTGGAGAGAAAACAGGCATACATTTTTTAAAATGTGTCTTGATTTGTCATGGCCTCAAACCATCGATTTCATTCTATCAATTCTATTCCTTTGGAGAACCCTGACTGTACAGTTGAAGAATAGATGACAAGGTATTCAGCACTGGCTTACATACCCCAGTAAATTCTGGTTTTACGAAGTCCGGAGTTGGCTGTCAGCACATGTTGGCAAGGTTTATCTTTCAGACCGGTGGAATGTGTTTACCCAAAAGGTTTTTCCTAGGTACAGTGATGAGATGATCCCATTAAAGTTAACATTTTACTTTTTTTATCTGTTCTTTGAAGCAGGGTATCATTGTGTGGTATTGGGACTGGTATGCAGTTCCAGTCCATCTGGAACTTGGTATACACCCCAGGTTGGCTTTGAACTCTATCTAGTTCCTTCTGCCTTACCCTCCAGAGTGATGGGGTTACAGGTGGCTCATTCAACAGACCTTTTTGTGATTTTGGAAACTGTTCCTGGTCATGATATGAGCTAAACATGTGCTCTGTCTCTGAACTAGACCCTGAGCCCCAGCCGACTTTTCCCCCATTAAGTACTTGTGTGGCACAGAGCTTGAGTAAACAAAGATGAGCACAATCCTTTTTTCCTCTCAGTGTGTTTTGTTGTTTTCTGTTTTTTTTTTTTTTTTTGAGACTTGGTTTCTCTGTATAGCCCTGGCTGTCCTGGAATTCTGTAGACCACTAGGGCTGGCCTTGAACTCACAGATCCACTGCCTATGCCTCCCAAGTGCTGCGATTAAAGTTGTTTGGCACCACTGCCCAGCTCCTCTCAATGTTTTTAACGTGAAAAAAAAAAAAAAAGTTAGCAATCTGAAACTATCTAAAATCCTTGAAAACATGTACAAACTTTTGGAGTAAGTTTGTTTTTCCTCTATGGAAATTGAATAAACTTCATATACTTTTCTTATCCTGTAAACTCTAAACAGTGTTTAACTCATAGTTATATGTCTTGTTTTGTCCACATTTTTGTGGGTCCTAACTGGTTTTGACTGAATTAATTGTAACCTTGTGATGACTTGTAGCATACCTTTTGAGGATGTTTGGCGTTAAGTGGAGTTACACTCTATTTTTAGGGAATTCCTTTTGACTCATTCTTGGACCTGGGATTCCTAATTGCCCATCTAGAGTAGGTATTTATGTGGACTTAGCTCCCATCCTGAAATACTGTCCCTGCTGTGGTTCTGACTGTGCTCCAGCTCTTCTTCAGGCCCCTCTCTGATGCTGGCCATGTCTGCCTGATAATCTTGGTCTTAGTCCTTATGCTTCCCTTCCTTCTCACTCTAAACTTACCTATTCTTGATCTTTACCCGATGTGTTTTGAATTTTGTTGTGTTGTTGAGACAGGGTCTCATTCTATCCCAGACTATGAACGCATGTCAGTCCTGCCTGTCTCCCCATGTGCTTGTAGAACTAGAATTACTGATGTGTGCCACTATGTTCCATTGGTGTATACAGAGCTGGAGATTGAGCCTTTGGCATCGAGCATGCTAGGAAAGCACCCTTCCTCTCAATACCAGGGATTGAACCCACCACATGGCAGACAAACACTCTGCCTTTGAACTACATCCCTAGCCATATATATATATTTCTTCTTCCTTCTCCTCCTTCCTCCCCCTTCTTCCTCCTCCTCCTCATCCTTTATATCCTTGTCATGCTTATGTCTTTTTTCTATTTCTCCAAAGTTCAAAGGTCACCCAAAGAGTCTTTTCACACACTCCATCTATTTCATTTACCCCAGAGGCAACTCTTTATCCTTACTCCTGTCAAAACCTTTCAGGATTAGAGAGGTGGCTCAGCAGTTAAGAACACTCATTCTTACAGAGGACATGGGTTCGATTACCAGCACTAATATGACAGCCAACTGTTTATAACTCCAGTTCCAAGGTGTGTTTAACACTGTCTTCTGACCTTGCAAGTACCAAATCACATAAATGGTGCACAGATACACATATGAGCAAAATACTCATGCACATAAAGTTAAATTAAAAAGATAGAATAAAAACTATCTCCTCTTTGTACTTTAGCCTAGGGATCTCTAAAATATAGTACTCTTCTAGGAATCTATGCTTATTTTTATGTTATTTCACCACTAGACTGCACAGTGTGTTTTGTAATGTTTAGGGTAATGCCTTGTCTTTGGTATCTCCATATCCCCATCACCGAGTTTATAATTAGTTCATTTATGAAGAAGCAATTTGATGCCTGCTGATTTTTTTCTTTGTAGTTGTTTGGTGTAGTAAAGTATTTCCGATAAAGCCTTAGGGCTTCTATCTGGAAGCCTTGCTATTACATATTGTATATTCTTTTCCTGTGTGTGTGTGTGTGTGTGTGTGTGTGTGTGTTGTTTTGTTTTTTTGAGATAAGAGTCTCCTCCTGTACAGCCCACTATGACCTCAACTGGTTTGTGTGCTTTAACCTCAAGTATTATAAGTGTGTGCACCTGGTTTAAATATTGTATTCTTAAGTTAATGGTCTTGTATATGGATATAGTGTTGTTTTGTTGTGCTTTGTTTGAAGATTTATTTTTAATTGGACATGTGGCCCATGCCTTTAGTTCCAGCACGTAGAAGGCAGAGGCAAGGATCTCTGTCAGTTCAAGGCCAGCCAGGGCTATATAGTGAGACCCTGTCTCAAACAAAACAGAGCTAGAGAGATAGCTCAGGGTTAGAACCAGGTACTCTTCCCGAGGACCTTAATTTAGTTCCTAGTACCCACATGGAGGCTCCAGCCCAGGGGATTGATTTAGTGTCTGCATCTGGCCTCTGCAGCCACTGCGTGAATGTGGTACAGATACATGCAGGCAAACACCCAAACACATAAAGTACGTTTAAACAAGCAAAAGGAATTATTTGTATTTTGCGTTTATATGTGTGTGCCTGATACCCAGGGAGACCAGAAGAAGGCATTAGCTCCTCTGGGTGATTGTGAGCCACCCATTGTGTGTGCTGGGAATCAAACCCAGGTCCTCTGGAAGAATAGCCAGTGCTCTTAAATGATGGCCATCTTTCTAGCCTCTGTTACTTTATTTTTTTAAGTTAGAGGAAATAAAGAATAAAATTTGTGACTGTTTCTCTGACTTTTGTTAAACTAAAGTGATGATGTCCCAGCCGTCCATGTGCTGATGTTGTTGGTGTGTAGTGATGGTGTGTCTGGGTGCTAGAACAATTTTGGTGATTCCAGCACCAAAAACAAAACAAAGCATGCCATGTCCTACCCTTCCCCCCATACAACTAGTCTTACCTGTAATATGCATAACATTGAGGAATCTTATTTTCAGAAGGATCCTTCTAAGCTTGAGCAGACTGTCATATGAAATAAAGAAAATTTTCCCCTTTGACACATTGCATCTAATTTTTAAATTTTGCTTTGTTTTGTTGTATGTTTTTGAGACAGAATAACTTAAAATCTTCAGTCCAGGCTGGCCTCAAACTCATGATCTTGCTGCCTCAGCTTTCCAGGACAGGCTCACTAATTACTGATTTTATCCCATTTTCTGATATATAATTAGTAACTCATATTAGCCTCAAACTTAGACTATTTCTGTCTCAGACCCCTAGTACTGGGATTACAGGTGTGAACCATAGGCCTGCCTGGC